GCAGTGGAAGAGTGCTCTGCAGTCCCCTGGTGCCCTGCTCTCTCCGGACTCCCATGACCCTGACAGGAGGGTGCAGCGAGGTGGGTGTTGGTCTCTTCTCCCAAGTAGTTAGCGATAGGACGAGAGGAAATGGATTCAAGCTGCACCAGGGGAGGTTTAGATTGGATATTAGGAAAACTTTCTTCACGGAAAGAGTAGTCAAGCATTGGAACAGGCTGCCCAGAGAGGTGGTGGAGTCCCCATCCCTGGAAGTGTTCAAAAACGGGTAGATGTGGCACTCTGGGACACAGTTTAGTCTAGTCTACCCTTAACTGGTTTAGTGTGGACTTGGTAGTGTAGGTTAGTGGTTGGACTGGATGATCTTAAAGGCCTTTTCCAACCTAAACTATTCTATGATTTTATGACAAGTGGCAAGTCATTCTTGTCCTTGTTGTTAACCTGCGTTTTGAAATAAGCTGAGCTCCAGCTTTTGCCCAGAATCCTTGTGCAAATGCTTGCTCTTTCCTTCTGGGTTTAGCTTTAGCAAACTTGCTCTGCGCTTGTGGAGTGCTGACCATGCTCCCCTCCGCGTCATCTCCCATACCGTAATCCCGTGACGTTGTTACGTTTAGCCTTGGAGCGCGTATTCCCTACCAGGGCTTAGCTTGAGGTTTGCTGCTTTTGCTTCAGACTGGAGGAAGGGCTGATGTCTGACTCCCTCTTCCCATCTCAGCAGCTACGCCGCTGGTGGGTCCCGCTACCTCTCTCCTTTTTGGGGACAGGGAGAGCAGCACCCGCACGATTCCGGCTGTCGGCAGCAGTGGGTGCGCAGCCACTGGAGGGCCCCCAGAGCCCAGATAAGATGCTGCTGCTTAGGAGCTGCTGCCACTTTTGCTGTGCCAAGAGCCTTCCCCCAGCAGAGATGCCAGGGCTCCCCTTTTGCTCCACACCTCTTCTTAAACTCTCCACGTATGTTGCCTTCTTAACTTGCTGTGCAAAGGCTCCCTGAAGAGGGACTTGGAGATTTGGTAGTTTTAAGTGTGTTCACTGCTTTCCGACCTCTTTCTTTGTTCTGCTCACAGTTAGAGTTATTCCCCCAGTGTCTGTGAAGGGGAGGATTTCTGTTTTCCCAGACTTTTTGAAGGAGGCTCTGAGAGTACCTAGCTATTATTTACAGTGGCTTGGACCTCTTGCTACTCAGCAGAGGGTGGTATTATTTCAAATAATGACTTAGAGCCCTGCTCGGTCCCTATGCGCGTCCTCCTGGAGCAGGAGGATCAGGACCCAGTGCTCTAATTACTTTGCAAACTATCCTTAACACCTGTAAAATGTAATGCATGCTATCATCATCAGAGAAACCTGAGGGTATGGGTGGTGGAAACAGGAAATAAGAGACCTGTATCCTTAGCCCATCTGTGCTATGTGTCTTTTCTGTGTACCTTCCCCATTTTCCTCCATATACTGTTTGATTTTATCTATTTGTGATGTAAACTTTTTGTTGTTGTGACTATCTCTGTTTCATCCTTCTTGGCCCAGCGGGCCTCAGTGCATTAAAGTAAAAGATTGAAGTGAAATCCATGCTTAAAACATGTTGTTACAGTGAAGCATAAATGATCAATGTAAAGAATAGCTGCAGTTAACAGTTAGAGAGGGAGAGGTTCCTACT